CATTGTTTCAATGGATTCAGATTCTTCCATTTTGAATGCCTCATACTTCTGAATGAGCGCCAGAGCTTTAGTTTCTTTGACTTGAACGTTGCCCTCATGCGTCATTCTGAGTGAGTCAAAAATATTCTTTGCTGTGTCTCTGTTGGAGATCTTTTCATATTCAGTATAGGAGATGGCGCTGAGGAGGATGGTTCTGGCCTTGTGGTGATTCTTGAAGTCACGCTTTTGTTGGTCAGACATTGTTTTTCTATCAATCTTCTGACCGCTAGCATTCACAGGGTGCGTGTATCCATCTGTCACCATATCCCACAGATCAGCATCATGTGCCAGAAAGAAGCTTTCAATTATGTCTTTCCAGTAATCAAAGTTTTCTCCATCAAAGACTGGAGGTTTGCCGCTGAATCTGTCTCTGTCCTCATTGTTGTCATTGCTGATGTGAGAGTTGTTTCCTGCCATTGTGTTTTTCTGACGCTGGATCTTGTACTGACACGGTTAAGTGTTTTAGCTCAGAACCAGGCGCTCTGATGCCAATTGAAGTAGTGAAAAACACAAGAAGGGGGGGTTGAATTGTAAAACTGAAAATCAATGCAATGAACAAGATATTTTTATCCTGGTTCGTTTGATCTCAAACTACTCCAGTCCACCCGTCAAGGTGATTTCGCCTCTCTCCAACGAGGTCTTAATCCACTATATTCAACTTAATATTACAGACTGCTTTAACAACTGCTAAAGCCTTCTTGATGCAAACCACAACCCGGTTTGTCAAGGAAACACTTTCTTACAAAGAAGATAAATCTAAGTGTGTGAATGTTTTCTACAAAACTGTATCACAACTGTGATGTATACACAACTTAAAGCTTAGAAACTAGATTGCTAAACAATGATAGAATATCAGAATGTGTAGTGTTTAGAAAACTGAGAGAAGGAAGATTATGATCAGCTTTTATGCGTGTAAAGATTTGGAGAGCATTAGCCAATTCAATCTTCAAAGTCTTGTTTATATAGCACTGAGATGTTGAACGTTGGAGCAATATTCTTGATTCAATGCTAATAACAAACTTTCCTTATCGAGCAGATCTTGTCTGGAATGACGCCGTTGGTATTAATTTGCTTTCAATGCACAGTACCGTTGCTTACTTAATGCAAGTTCTGGCTTGGCTCATTCTGACTCTGCTTAGCTGCTGATGAACTGTTGTGTTTCTTTATCAGAGTGTTGAGCGCAATTCTGTTCATCAGACTTCAGCATATACGTGAGTTAATCTTCTGATTCTGACATTCTGATATGGTAACTTCTGATGCTGGTGTCAAGAACCAAATTTCTGATGCTGATTAGATGTGATCTTGCTTATATCAATCAGAGTATCTGCAAATCAGAACGTAATAACTTAGGCAGCAGATAGTTCATACATGAATCACATAAATGATATATTTTTTCACTTTGTTATCATCAAAACTTAAATATAGGGTAGTAGATTCAAACTTTGTTCTAACATGAGTGACATCAACCTTTTAGACCACCTCAAACCTTGTTCGTTCTTTATCACTGATCGGGGTTGGTGCAAAATAAACCACCTGGACAATAGAGGTATACAACACATAAGAGTTCATCGCTTCTTCATAGTACGAGTGTGGAGGGAATGCATGACATCTCCAAGAAAAGTAGGTATCAGATTATGAGTGAGAAATATTTTGATGGCATTCACATCTATGAATTGGTCCAGATTAGGGAATAGTGCCAACCCATAAATAAGCAAAGCCAACATGTCCTAAAAAGCACGAAAATTCATGGCATCTAGAAACCACTGAGCCTTATCTATCAGAAATTTAGGAGAAAAACCATTGACTCAATTCCCTTGACTCCATTTCTTGTTTCCCAATTAGATACAATGTCTGATCATTTCAGATGTAAGGCTACTGCAACATCTTCAGGTTTCAGAACTTGCTCTAGACTGGTGAAAGGTGTCTGATCAAGAATAGGAACTTCGAGCAACTTAGTTAATTCTTCCATCATGGGCACCAATTGATAATCCGAAAAGGTAAAACAATGATGCTTCGTATCAAAGAACTATAAAAGAATGCTCATCGTGTCTTCCTGGAAGCCAGTAGTAACCAAACTGAGTAGATGACCATGTCTCTTGGTGAATTGAGAATTGTCGGGAACCGTTGAGACTAATTCCTCAATCTTGGAAGTTATCCTTACAAAGTTGATCCGGATGGTATTCCTACGATTGGAAGCCATGACCCTACAACACAGAGCAAAGATAAATCCCCTAGATCCTTGAAACGGTTAGTCATGATGTTATGATGTTATGATGTTATGATGTCATGTTTAAACAGATAATCAAACACAAACAAAGCACACAAAGGCATTTAGTTTGAGGCATGCATGGGCTTTGTAGGTAAGTACCCTCTTGAAGTTTAGTTGGCGCAACCTGTCTTAAAGAAGTAATCAAGTTATAGGGATCTTAATATCATTGATTTTTCCTGCAAATCTTGTCTAGCACAATGAAACAACCGGCTGAACAATCAACTGATAATAAAATCAATGAAGTCGCCGTCAAACGTCTTTTATCCCAATAGGAACGGAAAGGTAAACATTGAGTAAACCCGAGAAGGGTGAAATCAAGTTCGAACGACCAAGAGATACGGATAAGGGAGTTTGTCACGCGAGGGGAAGGTATTAGCACCCCACACGCCCGTAGTTCTCTATGTTATCCACTCTTATTATCTATATTTTGAGTGTGTAAGAATCTATATCTAAGCTTAATAGCTAAAAGAAAATGCAAAGAGGGAATGCATGCAAAAAAAAGAGAGAAAATAATGTAGGGAAAATAAAGTTGTGCTCGCTCGAGCCATGCCCCAATGCCTACGTATCCCTTTTAAGGAATCAGAGAAGCCGTAGTTCGGCTTCAAAAGTTTTTGTTGGTTTGTAATTTTTAATGAACAATATTAATTTCGCCTTTTGCCGCAGCTCGACCTTTGGAGACTCACGCGTCAACACAGAAGTGAATTAACATGTTCTTTCTGAAAAGAGTTTGAAAGCAAAGCCCGAAGGCGCAAAAGAGTTTGCATTGGTTGATATTTTTTACCTTAAAGAAGGATTTGGAAATTATTAGATGTTTTATGCATTTTTCAAGAAAAATGAAGCTTTTATTTTAAATGCAAAGATGCAAAAGAAAAGAAAAACATCTAAGGGAGACTAACCTAGATCTATCCCTAATGTTATCATACAATGATTGATCCTAAAGTTGAGCTTTGAAGGGAAATCTCTACCCTGTGTTGATATGCTTGGATAAGAATCCTAATGTCTATATCAACTCATCATCTATAGATGAATTAAGAAGTCCTAAAGGAGCATAGCAAGGGTCTATCACCTAAAACTATGTCTATCTCGAATTATCATCTATAGTTGAATCGGGAGCTCCTAAGGGAACATGCCGAGGGTATATCATCTCAAAACATGCATGGAAAGATGAAATAAAACAAGCAAGCCAATAAGCAATAAGCTCAAGAGAGCTAGCTCAAGAGAGCATAACTAGAGAGATCCAATCTAAGCTAGCATACCAAAGAAAGTCTAACAAAACTATCCTATGGGGAACATGCACTGAGAGCGAAGTCATGATCTCAATTTCTAAATTGACTGACTCATCGATCAATAAGAAATAAAGGAAAGCGATAAAATCCTATAGGGAGCATGCACTGAGAGCAAAGTCGTGATCTCAATTTCTAAATTGAGTGACTCATCGATCAACAACCAAAGAAACAAACACAAGCATAACACATATAGCAAATGAAGTGTGGAATGCATTCTACATGTCTTTAAACAGCGACTTCGACCACACGCTATTTATTTCCTACTTCTCATGATATCTAGAAAGCAATAAAGTGCGAAATGAGATAAACAAGAGAAAATACCAAATGGATATATATCCTTAGCAAAGCAAATCAAAACAAAGAAACCCGAAGATCTTCGTGAAAGCTTCATCAATCAAAGAAAAGAGTCAGCAATCTAATGCTCGGAATAAGCGTCGAAGCCTCATCGATGTGAAAATAAATCACAATCGAAATCTCAAGCACATACATATATCCTGCATAAGACTCAAATCTCAACAAGAAAAAGTAAGTCACGAACCCTTGACAACAAAATGATTACTAAACATAATTGATAATGCAAAATTCTAATCAAAATTATAAAAAAAGAAATCTAAAAAAAAACTATTATATTCTATTACTATTTTTGTCACCTAATTTTAAGTAAGGAAAAATAAAAATAAAACAATTGAAATGAACTCTAAACAAAGTAGTATGAAACTGGATTCAAGGTGTACAGAAATACCACAAATCCCTAAAAAATTGAGCCCATGAGAACTTTTTTCAACCAAACTTTCAGGCCAAAAAATTAAGGGATCCGTGGGCTTGTGTAATGAATGTGGCTCGGTCAAACAAACATCCATGAACCTTTCATTATTTCAATTGTTTGTTTCAGCATATATAAAAAAACAAATAACAATAAAAATTAAACTAAAAAAAACAAAATGGGAATAGGGTTAACATTGTGAGCGACGATTGAGATTTCACGAAGAATCTGCTTCCTATTCTTTGCAATGCAAACAACGGCGCCGATAATGCCTTCAATCGAATTCCGACTCAATAATTAGGCTCCGTCGTTCTTCTTCTCTGATTGAATCGCGTCCACCACAGACCATATCATCCATAAATCTCCTTTTCTTCCTCAATCACTCTCGTTCTCCCCTCCGCCAGTGAGTACTCATCAAACCAACTCAATTGGAAGCTTATAAACATCAACTCTTACTCAAATCATCTCCTCACCTTAAAGCTGGTGTCAATTTATCGTGAAAGTCTATGGAATGGCTGGATTGAAGAATTAATTTTAAGAACCCTAGATCTACGACACTCATGGATCCCTGAACGAAATTCTTGAACCTTCGACGCGAGGGCGCAACCTACGATCGTCGCTGCTAAGGTATTCTTATCCTTCTTTAATTTATTATTCTATGATTTCTTCTTCTGATATGCGTTATTGATGATGCAATGAAGGTGTTAGTACGATGGAGATTGAAGAATCGTGCGTTGTCAAAAGTTTGCAGAAGGATGCAGTTGTGATTTAGAAGATAATTAAGGTCGCAGAGCTTCAAGCAGAGATTATAGAGGAATTTTGTTAGACGTACTGGAGCAAGGTATTCATTATCCTGTTGTTCTGAAAACACAAAATTGATAGACATATCCCATACGTCACGCAAGGTGACAGACTTGATACCAACAAGAATAATATTCTTCGCAATCTCAGCACCAAGACCCTGCATCCCCGACATAAGAACTCTAGCATCAAAGAGCCTACACATGGTATCTCGACCATACACCACATGCTACCTACTATGCAGATCTTCATCAATATCCGTCGAACTAGCATCTCCCAAAGTCATGACGTAAGTCCCTCGTTCAAGAGTCATCTCACTATTGTCGTTGTAATTTTTTTTTGAACTTTAGCAAAAGTTGTTAGAAAGAGTTGGCCTTTCTGATATTATTTTCTTTTTTTTTTCTTTTGCAATGTTCTGGTGCATATTAGTACATGGCCAAGAGTAGGTATACATCAACTCTTATTAGAGCAGCATAATGGGTGATGTTACGATGCAGCCGAGAGTTTAGTAATGAAAGGAAATCATTGTGAATCAGTTTGAACTCGGTTGGTTTGGACTGTATGTAATGCAGGGAACTTATTCAATGGATATGCACCTGATTATGGATAAAACAGTGAACTGGTTTTGAAGCGTGCTTAAGCTAGTATTGAACCGGTTTTTCTCATTATTGTTTAGACAGCAAGGTGTGGAACTATTTTGCATGAAATTTCTAAACTTGTTTGATTTGGAATTTTGTATATGGTCTTGTAGGTTTTTCCGAGTCCACGACTTTGGTATCTATGAACTGATGTGTAAAACTGAATGTGGATATGCGGATAACGTGAACTACTCAAATTATGATGCCTTAGATTATTTATGTATGCAGTTGTTTTACTCATAATCCTAGCTTGCGTTTAATGAAAAGGTGAAGAAATAACACAACATTGGATTTGTCTTATCGGTGCAGCAACTTGTGCACTGTTATGGTTGGCTATTTTTTGGGCAGCTGGAAGTACAAAAGCTATAGATGAAGAAGCATGAAGATGGAAAATGGAGTTAGGCTTAGAATAATGGTTTTGGTGTAATTTCCCGGTTCTATTGTCTTTGTTGTGAAATAATGTCACAAGATATATGTAGGGTAATTTGTTTTATATAATTGCTCCTGAATTTGTAATGGATATGGTATTTCTTTGTAATGGGATTTGATGGTTTTTGAATGGTAGATTTGGAATGTAATATCGGACTTGCTTGAGGTGTGAAATGAAATTCGAACCATTTGTTTTTTACTGCAAATTGTAACGTTTTCATAAATTTTATATGTCCAGTAAATTGCCTCTTCCAAATATCCCATCTCTGACTTTTTGCTTCTCGCGGTATTTGAAATAAGAAATACTCAATGCACCTACTAAGAATCAAATCATCATTGCCCAACTATGTCCATGGACTTCTTCCAAAGCATACCCGTCTCCCAAATGCTTCATGGCAGTAAAAGTGTTGCAATGTCAACGGCAATTGCATATCTGCAAACAATTATATGCAAGTATTTCCAGATAAACCTTTTATATGATAACTGCTCCCCATTTGACTGTCTTGGGGTCTATGGAAGGCATTAACTGGTTGTATGCAAGCCACAAATATTATAACAATTCCAAATTTAACATGTATTGAGCTAACATGAAAACCACGAAGCTCAGCAACCGCTAAAAGAAGTGTAGGAAAAACTATTGATAACCTTGAGTATTTCATGTAAATATGAATTTCGTACCAACCACCGCCTTTCAAATATTTCAAATACCTGGCCGCCAATATTCCTCCTGGAAACAAGATACCCCATGTAAGAAACATCATGAATACCTATGCTCTTGAACAAGTTAATTTTGATGTACCAAGTAAGTAACAATGAATCCACTCGTTAATTATCAAATTCATGTTTATATGGTACTTCAAGAAATCCAAATAATCCATCTTCTACCTATTTTCTTACAAGCTTCAAACAACTTTATTCAACTAAAACCCTTTAGAAAACTTGAATGAACACCAACCCAAACGATGATTCCAAATAAAATTCCATCCTTAATGAACGAAACCAAATGCTCATCACATAAAAAGGAAGCTTCCAATGAAAGTCAAGCCTTTGTAAGAAAGTCCAAGAAATGATGACAGGACTTGTAACACAAGTAATGGATGGAGGTCCTTAACTCTGACAGAAAGAGACTCCAATAGCCATAAGATACAACCCTAAACCATGGTACTTAGAGAAGAACTCGATTGGAGCATAATGGCTAAAAACCTGGCTTCGATTGCACATAGGAAAATAAACCCTGATAGCCTCGTAGCTTGATGAAGATAGAAATTCTCAGTGACCCAGATTACAGCCCTAATTCCACCGTTTACTGTTTGAATAAGAAATCAGCCTTTATTGGATTTTTATACTTCAATCACAATGAAGCCCTGATATTGCACAACTACTGAACTTTAAACCTCCAGGTATTTTATCAAATGAAAATGTATGTTAATGACCTAATGGAATATATACAGATGAATGCAAAAGTCCAAGCCAAATAAAATAAATTAGGAGGGTAAATTTCGGGGTGTAACACATGACAACTGACTTGCCACAAAAAAAAACCCAAGAGTCGAATCTTAATGAGTGTAGTATCGAGTATCAACCAACTTCGGACTACACCAAAGCCGGCTATCTCACTACATTCTAATGGCTAAGTTGGGTCAATTAAGGTTCTAAGGTTAGTTAGTGCTTATGACACAATACGACATCCTAGTATTATCCCCGACTGACTCGAGGGACACCAGTACAAACCAATGTGTCGCACTAACGTAGCCATCACTTCAACCATATCGGTATACGCCGTATAGTTTCCAAGATCTATTGCTACTTACATAAAATACCCACAGATCTGGGTGTAGGATCTTTGCAAGAAAATAAGCCCGAGAAACCCTCAAAAGGTAAAGCACAAAAGATAAACAAGGAAAGCATTAAAAATGATCTAACTCTAAAGGTAACCCCATTTTTAGTATTTTCCCCGGCAGAGTCGCTAGTTCTGTAATACGGTGGGAGAACTGACTTTGTTTTGCATTCTATCACAAATGTTATAGATATCAAGAGTCGCCACTGACATTTCTTTTATCCAATAAGGAAAGTGTGAAAAGAACAAGAAAGACCTTGGAGATTTTGAGTTCGGGGGGCAGGTTATGAAAAGGGAAAGTGTTAGGACCCTTTTCATCTGTAGTTATCTACGGGCTCTTAATCGTTATCTCACTTGTGTTTTGAAAACGCTTTGTGAATGTGTTTTGAAAATATTTTGAAAAGATATCTAAGTACGACAAATTTGAAATGATTCTTGTATCAGTTAAGAATGCGTACAAAGTGTTTATTTTTGAAAATATTTCAGAGAAAGTGTTTGTGAAAAATATGTTTTAAAAAGTTTGCGAGAAAGAGATAAAGAACTATCTACCTACTCAAAGTCTTTTTTGTTATTTTCCTCCTCCTTTAGATAGTTTTATCCTACCATTAGTTAGTAGGAAACCCTATCGTTGGATGTGAAGGGACAAGAGCGGGTCATCGTACAATCATAAAGGAAACTCGTAGGGGCACTTTAGTAATTTATCATAAGGGACTAAGATCGTTTACCGAAGGTATCATCGAAGGGTCATCGAGGGACTATAATCTCTATGACCGAGGGTTTTTGCTAAAGCGTCCCCATGTTCGAGAGACATGAGTGTGTTTCCAGAGGCAACAAGTGAGGTCACCCTAGAGGTGCAAGTGTAAAAAGTAATTCATGTTCAATTATTTTAATCTTGAAATTAAGGTTTTCTACGATGGTTTTTATGGCTTACCATACAAACCTTAATTACTAAAAAATAATATAGAAATAATGAAAAGCAGTAAAGTGCGGGAAATGAAATTCTATGCTATTACAAGGCTTCGGGAGTGGGGGTACAAATAATAAAACTGGGAGGAAAGAATAAACCCTAATTAAACTATTACAACCGTAAGAAGTTACATAATTGGACAAAGAACGCGAATCGGTAAAAAGAAAAAGAAAAGATAAAAAATTTTTGTGATCATTTTGATGAAACAAAGTTTAACGATTAACCTAAAACCTAATTGATTTTAATTAATTAAAAAAAGTTAGTTAATTAAATTAAACAAAACCCTAAAATATAAGTTGATTTTAATTTAATTAAGAAAACCTATAAAAAATATTAGGGTTAATTTTAATTAAAAACATAAAACTAAATTAGGGTTTGTTAAGAAAAATCAAAAGTTTGTGAAAAATGTTAGGTTTTATGAAAAAGGAAGAAAATGAAGGGAAAGGACAAGAAGAATAGAGAATTGTTACAAAAAATAACCAAAGGGTAGGGGTGGGTGTTAAACCCGTACCCTCAGGACTTTCCAGCAGCATAATCACCACCAGGCCAAGCGCGCCTTGGTGTTAGGATCTGGCCTCAGCGTGTTATGTAATAAACCTGCAAAACATGAAAATATTAGGAAAAATAAGTGGCAAAAGGCTGGATCGAACCCAGGCCCTTTGACACAAATGAATTATTGCGTGCGCTTCTACCACTGGGGTGACTATACATCCATTAGTTTAAATGAAACAAATAAAATAAATATAAAACCTGCAAAACACAAAGAATTAGTAGTCCAAAAACACCCTACCCCCCTAAATCGAGGGCTGCGAGTTTGATGAGATGATTATTATGGGCTAAAACTAATTTATTTGGATGCTATAGCAAAGAAAACATAGAATCGGTGTAACCATGATGTTTCATGGTTTCGACTGTATGAGATCATTACGATGGTCCAAACCTGTTTAGATACATATCAGAAGTATGCTAGTAACATCGGTGTGGCTTAAAACAAAACAAAATTAAAAATATGAATTTTTCAAGAATAAGAAATTGGTATGCCATGCGATGGGGTTTCGTGCGTTTGGGACCATCAAAATTGACCCAACCTAACTTTGTATGATTTCTGGGAGTGAATAGAGTAGTTGTTTGTAGTGAAAGGGTTTGTGATAAAGGTTTCAAGATTTTAGGGTTATTGAAATTATTTGATATTTTTGACTAGTTTGTGAGGCAAGGTTTGGTGTCCTTGTATGAGAATGGATGATAGAATATATAGGTTGAAATTAGGGCAAAGATATGGGCTTGGTCTTTGTGTAAGAAGGCCTTGTCTTATTTCATTTAATTTTGACTTTTAA